ATCTCAGCACAATGAGGGAATTCTATTTATTTGTGTGCGTTTCTTGTTCCTCGTCTGTTCCTGAACTACAAACCAGAGGAAAACAAGAAGCTTTTTTCTGGTTGTCAGGAAACAAATGGAGACGTTTTCACACTTCAGTCGCTGTAGTCGAGCTTTAGAGGCGTTAGAAGAACAGCAGTAAAAAAAACATCCAGGAAGGTAAAAGCACAACATCAGTGTTTGTGTGAGCGCTCAGTTGCACTTTTTCCTGCATTTTAAGCAGAAAACTGTCAAATCTGTGCCGTGCATTTCTTTTTAAACCTGCAGAAAAACGACTTATTATCCCAGCCTCGGTCGTTATCGGTCATGTGGATTCTGTTGCCGTCCGTCTGGTGACTTCCCTCCTTTTGCTCCGTTTTGGGAAATATGTGACTTTTTAATCCTCCGAGTGCTTCACTGTGTTCATCGGCTCCTCACGAGCTTCTCGGTGCTGAGAAAGTGGAGATTTTATGAGAGACAGTCGACTGCTGCAGCCTAAAGTGATGAAAGAGCGACGGAAGTTCTAAAACTGTTGAGTTTAAACTCAACATAAACATCTAAAAACCAAATGAAGCTGCAAGAGGCCTCTGAGTCTTTGGACCTGCAGCTTACAGGAAGTTGATCAGTCTATTGGTATTTAATTATGATTACATTAATTACACTTTTATTTTGAAAAGTAAAGTAGTGTCCACATTTCCTTCATGATGGGACAGACTCAGACTTGAATGTTGATGCCTAAATGATTGAATGTTTGGATTATTACCGTCATATATTTCTATATTTCTCACAGCTCTCCATTATAAGAACCCGTTCCTCATCATTGGTCCATTTACTGTGCAGATGACCTTTTAGGGACCAATGCTGGTTTAGGTTTTGTAGAGCCGGCTAACACAAACAAAGCCTGGCTCTGTCGAACTCGCTTCATGTTACACCCCTCCGATTTGAAACGTAGCGACAGAATCCATAAAAAAACGTATTTGAAGAGTTCATTCATGACCAGGAAAAAGAAAAACGTGACTTTAGGACAGTCAGATGTAGTTCAGGATAAAGTTTTTGAGCACAAATAGATTCAAACTGAGAGAAAACGGCAACGCTGGGAAGCAGAAATGATGTGATGATGATGCCGCCGCCATGCTACGTGGTTGAAGATTTTTTTTTATCCTTCCACTATCAGACTCTTAAATTCTCAGGACACGAACTAATTGAATGACAATAAAGTAAATCTATCT